TGAACAAGTTTTCTCCCTCCTCCTTATGACACCCTTTTAAATACCTGAAAACTGCTATCATGTCCCCTCTCAGTCTTCTCTTTTCCAGGTACATACTGTACCTGCATCTATCTGGAAGAACCCCTTGATGGAGAAGGGAAGAGTACAGTCTCTGTAGCCCATTCAAACCTTAATCTTTTAAGGAATCTTACAAATCCACAGGGTTGGTGAAATGTGAACATATTGGATTGCAGCACAAACCCCTACTATGGAGATATACCTATCTCATAAAGCTGGAAAGGACACTGAAAGGTCATCGAGTCCAGCCCCCTGCCTTCACTAGCAGGACCAAGTACTGATTTTGCCCCAGAACCCTAATTGGTCCCCTCAAGGATTGAACTCACAACCCTGGGTTAAGCAGGCCAGTGCTCAAACCACTGAGCTATCCCTCCTCCCCACACATATTTATATTATAGATGCAGTCTGCAGCAATACATGCTGTTTACCAAAGGGGCAGATCTCTGTCTGAGAAATTATCATGTCTCCACCATTGTAAAATATTGAATCCCAATAAATGGGGTGTGGATAATAAAACCGGCCAATAAGTCTGTATCTGTAATGCAGTTTTGCAACAACTTCTTTGAAATATGCCATTAGGAGCTGGGGGCTGAAAGTTGGGCAGGAACATTTTTTACCTGCTGTGAAGCTGAAATAGGAATTAAAGTTGTTACCAAAAAAAAAAGCCAAGCTTCTATATTAATTTGAAAACATCACGTGGGGGAAGAATTCTCAGATTTATTAGTCCCATCAAGGTACATTAACTTCATCATAAAAAGAGTGTTTTCTATCAAAATTTAAGACATCATTTTATGTTATAATAGAGAACCTATTTTCATCATATAGTTTCCTCATTGAATGTATAAATTACTTTCAGTATGTCAGAAGCCTCCAGCTTTTGCTCCACGCATCTGCAAAAAAATTTTAAAGCATCCCTGTCCAAATCCATCCCTAATCTAACTCCACCAGCTTAAGGGAAGGCCCCTCTGAGAGACCAATAATGGGAAAGGCTCTGACTCAAGAACTGCCAGTATCACAGATAAGAAACTATTTGGGTCCGTTTCAAATGCAGAGCTAAAACTAGTAAATTAAAATTAACCATCCCCAGGCCAGATTCTCACCCACAAACCCATTCATTTTAAAAGCAGAGATCACTCAGGACCTCCTCAGGGGAGGGGCTGAGTACCCCTCCACTCCTACTGAAGTCAACGGGAGTCGAGGAGCTCAGCAGCTCACAGGATCATGCCCTAGATCTTTCATCCAGTCAAGCTTCTTGAAGGTGCATCTGTTTAACAAGAAGAACTGGAAATGATTGGATGTCTACTAGGGACCCCTGAATCCTGTGAGATGCTTTCGATGGGTTCCCTCAAAGCCCGCTGAAAGATCTCAGCAGTTTGCAGGATCAGGCCCTTAAAGATTAGTAAGAGGTCCCCAGTGTCCCACCAACACTGACTAGTTATGCAGATGTTCCAGTTGTTGACTAGCTCCCACTCCAAACCTCAACACACAATAGTCTAATAATAGAGAATTTCCCACTTGTTTCTATTATGAGCTGCTGCTTCCTTGTCAAGCCACACATCTTTAGCAAAGGGGAAACAAATCACTTCTCAAGGTAATAATGTTCTTCTGGCACAACTGTTTTCATTCCATTGCAAAGTTTCGTTCTATGCATAGCAGTCACATCAGAAGAAGAATGGCCAGTAAAACTCTTACCTCTTGCCTGGTCAATGTGATCACGGGATCCGGACTTCTGTTTGTGCTTTCATGGATTCCAGTCTACCCTTTGTGGCTTATCCCAGGAGAAGGCATGCTCTGTTGTATCCATATTGGGAAAGAAAAATGCAAAAGAATCTTAAAGATACTGGAACCACTTTAGCTAATTACAACAAAGAGTAAATCACTGACATTTTTAAAGTGTTTGCAGAATGTCATACTGTAATAATCAGTGAGCTGATGTAATAACGATCGGTAATTTGGTGGGCTGTGTAAATTGACTTTGATGGGTTTCAGTCCAGTTCCCAGTGGAAAAGTGTCCAGGTTACAAAAACTATCATCAAAACCAGTGGTCTCCAACCTTTTTAAGCACAAGATCACTTTTTGAATATAAGTGCAACCCAGGATCTACCTCAAAGAAAATGTAAAAACAACAGTAATCACACAAACCCAAACACCCTTGCCTTGCCCCCGCCCCACCCCTTCTCTGAGGCCTCAACCCACTCACTCCATCCCCCCCCTCCAGTTGCTCGCTCTCCCCTACCCTCATTCACTTTCACCAGGCTGGGACAGGGGGTTGGGATGCTGCGGGCTCTGGGCTGGAGCCGAGGGGTTCGGAGTATGGGAGGGGCTCCAGGCTGAGCCTGGGGCAGGGAGTTGGGATGCAGGAGGGGGTTCAGAGTGCGGGCTCTGGGAAGGAGTTTGAATGCAGGAGGGGGTTCAGGGTGCTGGTTCTGGGAGGGGGCTCAGGGCTTGGGCAGTGGCTTGGGGTGCAGGGTGTGGGCTCCGGGCTGAGCCTGAGGCAGGGAGTTGGGGTACAGGAGGGGGTTCAGGGTGCAGGCTCTGAGAGGGAGTTTGGGTGCAGGAGGGGGTTCGGGGCTGGGGCAGGAGATTGGGGTACAGGAGGGGGTGCAAGGTGCTGGCTCTGGGAGGGGACTGGGGCCGGGGTTGGGGTGCATGAGGGGGTTGGGGTGCGGGAGGGGGCTCAGGGCTGGGCCGGGTGGTTGGGGTGTGGGCTCCAGTTGGGTGCCGCTTACCTCAGGCAGTGATGCTGCAGGGCTAAGGCAGGCTCCCTGTCTGCCCTGGCCCCATGCCACTCCTGGAAGCAGCCGGCATGTTCGGCAGCGGCTCCTGGGGGGAAGGGGATCTCCATGCGTTGCCCGTCTGCAGGCACGACCCCCGCAACTCCTTGAGTAGCCGTCTCAGCAGAGCCACCAATTTGAGCAGGTCTTGAAGAGGCAGTGTGGTTCAGCAGATCATAACACCAGGAATCAGAACATCTGTTCCCAGTTCTGCCCCTGACTCACTGATTGATGATGCTGGGCAAATTACTTTACTTCTCTGTGCTAGGGTTCTCCATCTGTAAAATGAGCACTGTAAAGACCTTGGAGATTTATGGATGAAAAGCACTAGATTATAACTAAATATTATTATTAAGATTAACTTCCTTTTTACTTCCAGGGATGGTGGTTTCTCCAGCTGAGATAATCAAGGAGAACAGTGTGGGGGAAGCTTGCCTTTTGCTCTCCGTGCTATATCTGTTCTGTTGCCAGCAGCTGGGAGTGGACAACAGGGGATGGACCACTCGATGATTACCTGTTCTGTTCATTCCCTATGAAGCACGTGGTATTGGCCACTGTCAGAAGACAGGACACTGGGCTATATGTACCTTTGGTCTAACCCAGTATGGCCATTCTTATGTTCTTAGAGGACATCAGACCCCACGGCTATCAAAACAGCACCATTCTTAAGCACTAAATTTACATAATTAAATTTAAAAAATTACTAAATAGGAGGCCATATTCTCGACAGTACCAGTCCTACAAACAATCATGATTTTATCATCTTGCACTATATGCAACTTTTATTAAAGTCCCAATTCCTGGAGTCTTGTGAATATATGAGAATCTCAGCTTTCATTTAAAAACAACAACAAAAGTTTCTGGCCCTCCTGGTTGAAGAGAAAAGCTGGAAAACGTGATCTGTATGCACCATAAAAACTCAAAAACCAGAAAGCAAACGAGAAGAACACAGAATGTATTTTTTAATTTCTTTTTTAAGACAATATAATAATTTTTCAAGGGCTGACTCATGATTTTTGAACACTCGGGGATGGCAATACTGCAGTCTGATGTTATAGGGCCGGGCCTTGCCTAACTCAGAGCTTATGGAATTTCTTTAGCCCACTGCAAAATCCTGCTAAATCAGTGGGGCTGGAAATTCATTAAGTTTTAACTTGCAAGGGAAAACCAGACTGGACAGTTACTTTCTGTCCCTAGCAGGTTTCATGCACCACCACCATGCTGTTGTCTAGATTGCCGATGCTCCAGAGAAACGGTTCAGTAAATGTTTAAACACATCGCTTTTCAGCGCCTTTTAAAAAATTCACTCACAAAAACGTTTCCCGAGGAGGTTTGTTCACATTAGGTTATGAAGACACCCAACCTCATTTGTTAGTTACACAGGCCTGTGCTGCCCTCTCTCGTTCTGGCAGGAGCAGAGCTGGCAACAAACCCTCAGCTGGGATTATTGATGTCCATGTAGTTCTGCTTTATACGGAATGGGAGAGGTCTGGAAACAGAACTGGCACCTCTTCCTCTCTCCTGCTATCAGTCTGTGGCTTGTATTACACAGAAGGAGGGTTCAGAGGTTTGATCTATTACAGCTAATACTGCGCACCTGTCTGTCCATTGTAGATAAGGAGTTTACAGACCATACAGAGAGATGAGGGGCCTCGTATGGTTCTGGTGTAAGGAGGCTTATCTCCTATTGACTCCAATGCATCTGGTTTCATCTGGGCTGAATTGGGTCCCACATCACAAAACAACCCACACTGCTGGCACCAAATGGCCCCCTTGTTAGCAATCTCAGTGATGAGCCTAAGGAGTGAACTCCCCCCTCACTCCTAGAGAGGGCCCCCTCCAGAGCAGAGCCTTGGGGGACAGTGTGGACAAAGCTGGCACTCATGTTGCCCATACTGTGTCTGTTTTGTGCATAAAGATGGGACTTGAGTCTCCAGGGCTGCCAGTCTGGCTCCTTCATCAGCACTGCAGATCACAATGCCCAGAGGTACACAACTGCACACTTACATTTTTTAAATACACCTACATTTCTTATGTACAGACACACATAACTACACATGCAGAAGGAAAACCATTAAAAAAAACACACACACCTTGGCCACATACAGACAAAAGAGACCAAACACTGAACCTTCAGCCCCAAAAACACAGGCCTCCATTAAAAAAGAATTCCTTTAACTGTGAGCACGTTGCAGGTATTTAAACAACTACTAGAGGGAGCCAGGACTACTTACACTGTAAGATCTTCAGGGGAAGGACAATCCTTTTGTTCTGTATTTGTACAGCACCTGGCACAAGGAGATCCTGGTCTATGATTAGGGCTGTGGGGTGCTACCACAAAACAAAACAACAACAACAACATTACAACCACCCCAAATCCTCCGGGAATTTTGTCACTAAAGCTATCGCAGTGCTGCTATTGCCTGTACCTGGGACTATAACAGCCAGCTGTCTCATTTCCCTCAGGAAATCAATGTGGTGAAGACATTGCTGGCAAGAACCTGACCTGTGGAGGTACAAACTGGAAAAGAGGCAGAGACTAT